GCAGGTTATAGTTATTCTAGGTCTTAGTATTTATTCTAAAATACTAAGACTTACCTTAGAATTAATCCTATATCCCCTTCTGAATACTATTATATACCTTTATATATGTAATTTAGTATTAATAGCCTAAATATATTAATATTATAAAAAGTATATTTCTTTAACTTAAAGCCCTAGCCTTAACTTTAAGCTTTAATTAACTTTAATATAGCCTTTAGCCTATAACTAACCCTAACTAACCCTAACTAACCCTAACTAATTAGCTTAATTTAGCTTAAAATAGTCTATTTTACTAAGTTAAGTAATTAACTTACTATTAAGAGGTGTGGTTATAAGCTAATAAGAGCTAATAAGAGATTTTAGCAATATGGCCAGTGCGCTGAAAAAGCGGGACAGGACACTTTTAAACTAATTAGAAGGCTAGGAACCCTTGTTTTGCTAGTATATGATCCCTGGAGCGTTGGTGTATAATTTGGTATTGACATTTTTACCTTAAACCCCGCCCTCCTTAGCGGGGTAGCGCTGGCTTGGCAGGGTCTAAGTGTCTAGCTACTTTGATATCTATAGGTATCTGGGGTACCGGTAGTTGACTGTGGCGCCATGATCACAACCTACCTTATGGTCTTGCTGGTGGTACCACCGAATTGCAACCTGTGGCACCACCACCAGAGTGAAAAGTAAATAATTTAGCGAGTTTCTTGCGTTCAGATTAGTCTAGGCAGCTTCGCTATTCCGAACTAGCACGCCGGAGTATGACGGTTCATAACCGTAGAGAAACAAAGACAACCTCGTAGGAGACCTGGAAAGGCCAAGGGTGATCCCGCAGGTATTCCCTGTTGAGGGATGCAGTAGCCAAACCTTGGAATCAGACAAATGTTAAGGAATGCACGTTGTCTTTTATTTCCTTTTTTTTTTGTCACAAGATTCGCCGCAGGGTATACGGAGAAAAAAATGAACTAAATAATTGATATTGATTAGATAACGTCTCTATGAACCTAAACCCGCCCCCAATGCTTGCCGCATTGCGCGCTTCATAACACGAAACTGACCAATCAACAACTTGATATGCTCTATCGCAACCTCGTTCTCTTCCTGCAACTGTTGGATATATACGGTTGCTTGGTTCAGCACTTCAGCCTTATTCATCCGTACTACCCTATCCCTGTCGTTGTCGCTAGCTCCGTCGTCTCCCTCGGTCAGATCCTCATTGTTCCCCGGAAGTCGCTGTCCGTGCTGCGTCTGTTTTAGCGAAGTGACGCAGTCCCGAAGCGCCTCGAAACGCTCCTGGAGGCCTGCCCTATATCGCTTCTCGATTGCGTAATGAGGGCGCTGCCGTTTTCGAGGTGATGCGTGGCATGAAGCAATGTTGCTAGCGCTTCTGTCCCTGTCGATGGCCCCAGCTTGCCCCACAGCCAGGGATGTTGTCGTCGCGGGTCCCCCTTCTCCGAGTCTATGGAGACTAGCTTTGCTGGGTTGGGGTACTTCAGAGCCTTGGTTCTGGCGTTGCGGGCTTTGGACAATGGCCCTATTGTGGGGTGTTTGAGGGCAGACAGAGTCAAGCAGGGCATCCCACTGGCTGATGGAGCTTGACGAGAAATGTGACAAGTAGTCAGTGCTGTTGCCGTTATTACTGCTGTTACTGGTGCTAATACTTTCGGAGGCTGAGCAAACGAGTAACGAGTCTGGTTGCTCGACAAGCTCGTCACAGCTATAAGCCATGAGATTGCCCAGCCAGTTGGGTTCCAGATCAATGCTGGCATAACAGGAATCGCCACCCAATGCTGGATCGACCACAACTGTTTCATTTGGGGAGCAAGAAATGGCCGCTGGCGAATCCTCACTGCTGCCGGAAACTTGTGATAGTTGAGCAATCTCTGTAGCGCTGGGCCAAGGAGCGCCCGACCTGAGAATCTCCAGGTCAACGTCGTCGTTAGCAAGCAGCGCTCGAAGGGAGGCGACTAATTCTTCACGGCCCTTTGGAAGGCCAGGTGGTGATAAACATTTCGATTGAGGCTTGGGCATCTTGTTGGATCTGTGCGTGGACGAATCTTATCTGATTCTCGATATCTGGTTGCCTTTTGCTTCACTCTGAGAGGGCACCAAGCACGTATGGACTCTGAGCCTTACATATAAATTTCTTGGGCAGAGATCTACAAAATAAATACTTTGCAATGGCTTGATTTCGGACCCTTAATGCCTTCCGGTTCGGGCTCTGAACAGTGTATTCAAGATAGCGAATCTGTTGGTTCGTCCACGCGCTGAATTTCAAGCTGTTGGTCGGTCATATACAGGGATAGATGTCTGTTGGCTCGTCGGGGACAAAAGTTCCAGGCTCTAACCAAGCTTGCAGAGCTAGTTCACAACGCGATCCCTGGACCAACAGATGCAGTCAATAGCAGATCTGTTTCTGTTAAAAAGTTTATATATATACATTCTTTCCTTTTTCTTCTTTTAGAAAAAAGGGAAGTTTTATATCTATATCCCTTAGCTTACTAATAACTAGCTAAGGTATTACCTAAGTATAAGTAATTATTTTATTATTTTAATTTAATATCTCTTTTTAGTATACAAAAATTAATAATATTATATACTAATTTCTTTATAATATATATTATATTAAGTCCTC